ACCCCCAGCCCCCCCAGAATGCCACATGAAGACCCCCCCTCCTCCCCGAGGGGTTTATTTATTGTCTCTGTAATTATTGAGGGTTTGTTTGTACTGTTATCGATTCTGTCCCCACGCCTGGGGATGAAACGGGTGCTGCCACTTCCCTCCCCTCTAAAAAAAATGGAATTTCAAGCTCGTTTGGAGCTGGGGGAGGGATTTTTCTGCTTCCTTTCCCCCCCACATTTCAAGAAAAAAAGGGCTCAGTCCCAAAACTGATTTATTTTTACTTTTTTTCCTCCCTATTTATTCCTTTCCCACTGGGTTTTTTGGGTGGTTTTGTTCCCTTTTTAACGCTGATCTGCCAGTGTTGCCTTGTATTTTTTAAACCTAATTTATTCTATTTTTGTATATTTATTGCAAAGAATTAAAGGTTGTGTCAGGTTTGGGAGAGAAAAAAAGGGGGAAATTTAAAAAAAAAAAATTAAAAATTGATGGTTTTTTCCCCCCTTTTTTTCATGGATTTATGGGGATTTTTGGGGGGTTTTGAATAAATATATGTGCTTTTTGGTTTTCTAGAATATTGTGTTTTCCTACTGGTTCACAGAGATTGAGGGACTTTGGGGGGCAGAGAGAGGAGTTTTCCCCTGGATTTTAGGGGTTTTAAAGGCATTTTTAAGAGGGTTTTAAAGGGGTTTTTTAAGGTGTTTTAGGATTTTTAAAGGGTTTGTGGGGCATTAAGGGGGAGTTAAGGGAGGGTTTAAAGTTTTGGGGGGCTTTAGGCATTTTAAGATTTTTTTTAAGGAGTTATCAGGGTTTGTAAGGGGGGGTTAGGGACTTTAAAGGGGTTTTAAGTTATTTTTTAAGGGAGCTTGATGTTTTTTAAGGGGTTTATTTAGGGATTTTTAGGGGGGTTAAGGAGTTTTAAAAGTGGGAGGGTTTAGTGGTTTTAATAGGGCTTTAAATGGGTTAAAAAGGGTTTTTTAAGGTGGTTTAAACAAGTTAAAGACGCTTTCTTAAGGGGTTGACACCTTTTTAGGGGGTTATCAGGGTTTTCACAGGGCTCTGGGAGTGTTTCCCATCCGGGGCCTCTTTCCCCAGCAAAACCCAGCAGGAATTTGTCCTTTCCATCCCCGGCCGCTCCCCGAAGCCAAAGCCCGGCTGCCCGGAGCCTGCAAATGACGGGGTAGGAAAACTCCGGAAAAAGGGGATTTTGGCATTTTTTTCTGCCCCAAACCATAATCAGGGACGGGCGGCACCGACACCGCGCTGCGCCAGCCGCGGTTTTGGGGGGGTTTCGCCCCATTTTGGGGCATTTCGGCTTGTGGGTGTCGCGAGTTTTTTGGTCTCGGCCCCGGTGGCGGCTCAAAGTCCAGACTGGGGGGGACACCCTGGGCTGGGGCTCCTGACCCCCCTTATCGCCCCCACGGGGAAACTGAGGCACGGGACAGCGGGGTTTTTGGGGGGGCCGCTCCCCTCGCTCCTCCCCGGAGCCCAGCCCAGCTCCTGCCCCACTTTTGGGGTGTCTCCCTGGCGCTGACCCCGCTTCACCCGTCCCGTGCCTGGCCCGGGCATGCACGCCCTGCCCAACCTGCCCTGCCGCGCCTAATTAACCCCCCGGGCTTAATTAGGGCTTTGTTAGCGCCCAAACCCGCTGCGCCCCGGTCCGGGGGTCACCGGAGT